TTTAAAGTCATATTTGACTGTCTGTTCCAGCACTGAGAACTAAAATAAAGACTCATGTTTGTGGACTCAGATGTTCGAGACCAATAGCATCTGCTCCTGTTATGCACACCCACCTAACCTCGGTTTCTCTCCTGAACTCCAGAACAAAAAGCAGAGAAATATGTGCAGGAGTTCTTCTTAAGCTCTTCTCCTTGCCTTGCCTTGTTTACAGTTCTGGGGCTGCCCAGACAACACGCTTGATGGTAACAGTAGTTAAGAAGTCATGTTTGTCGTGACAATTCTTTTTGTTCTTGTCATTCTGACTTTGGGGAGGGCAGCTAGCTACTATGTTGTGCTTATCATGCTTCCAGAGGTCCTATGGGTCTTAGCAACAACCATTGGGCTTGGCAATAAGTATTGAGGCAATAAAATGCCACACACAGAACAAGGATGAAAAGCCCTGTTTGGGTTTCCATGTGATGGCCACTTCTTTCTTCTTTGGCCTTGCTCCAACACCTGATGAGTATTCCAGGATCCTAATCCTTTTCTGTCACTGTGGATCAGCACCCCAAGCAAAAAGGCCTGTGTTAGGATGAAAAGAATGATATCTTTCTCCTACTCAAGTTTAGGTCCTGACAACTTTATAGCATGTCCAGTAGAGCCTAAAATTCTAAGTGTAGAAATGATTCTTATAGTCTTGCAGGCTCATCTTGCTGAGGTTCCCATTTAGAAATGTTTGAGCCTGGTTCTGTAGAACAGGAATTGAGAGGATTTTTTCTAGGAGCCCTGCAGTTTCTGCAGAATGTCCCAGAGTGAGCAGGCTGCAGAATTGTACCTTGCTCTGTCTTCACATTGACAGCTTGTAGGTTCTCGTACCACTACTGTATGTGGAGTTTTGCAAAGGCAGTACTGTGTGGCAGTGCGTTAGCTGTGTGATGGTCTTTTTCTTTCTCCCCCCGCCCCTGCCCCTCTGGGTGCCGAAGGAAACTGAGTAGGTTGGAAATCTCCTAAAGTCAGTCCCATTGATGAGTAATTCAAAAATTTCCCAAAATTTTAAGATTTGTCTTCTCACTGCACAGCCTGTTTGTTTTGGACACAATCCCTAAGGAAAAACCAAGCAAGAAATATGGAGGAGGGAGGAGGAGCTCTTGCTGCTACAAATGATTGTATGCTATGGGGAAAATAAGAGAAATGAGGGTGATGGGTGCTGCTGAAAACAGTCAACAGGTTGTTTTGGTCCAACTGAGGCAAGTGGTGAGGCTTAGTTAGGATCAGGGCCTTCTGGCAAGGCATTGAGGTGTCCACTTCTGTCCAGCTCTGAGTGCAGACCTCTTTACTTTGAAATAAGTTCTGTTATTTTCCAACTGGGAGCATCTTAGGGCAAGTATGAACACTTGGTTTGAAGTAGATTCAACACTGATTCATTAAAATGACAGCCAGAACATATTCATTACCTCTCTTGCCCAGTTCTTTCCTCATAATTGATGTCTTTTAAAAATTATTAAAAAAATTTTTGACTTTAAATATTTTTTTTTATTTTTCAATCACAATTGACATATGGTATTATATTAGTGTTTGGTATATGGCCCCATGATTAGACATGTAACTTGCAAAGTGATCACAGTCATATATCTAGTACATCTGGCATCATACATTATTACAATATTATTGAGTATATACCTTATGTTGTACTTTACATCCCCATGACTATTCTGTAACTGCCAATTTGTATTTCTTAATCCCTTCACCTTTTTCACACATTTCCCTGATTTCCCTCCCATCTTAAAGAAGACCCGTTAACATTTCTTATAATGTTGGTTTGGTGGTAATGAACTTGTGGCTTTTTCTTGCCTGGGAAGCTTTTTATCTGATTTTTAATTCTAAATGATAGCATTGCTGGGTAGGGTAATTTTGATTATAGGTCCCTACTTTTCATTACTTTGAATATTTCTTCCAAATTACTTTTGGTCTGCAAATTTTCTGTAGAGAAACAGCTGAAAAATTTTTGAGGTCTTCCTTGTAAATAACTGACTGCTTTTCTCTCACTGCTTTTAAAATTCTTTCTTTGTCTTTAATTGTTTGTATTTTAATTATTGTGTGTCTTGTTGTGGGCCTCTTTGCATTCATATTGTGTGGGACTCTCTGCACATCCTGAACTTGTATGTCTATTTTCTAAACCAGGTTAAGGATGGTTTCTGTCATTATTTTTTTCACATAGGTTTTCAATGCCTTGCTCTCTCTCTTCTTTTCTGGCACCCCCATGTTGTGAATGTGGTATGCTTGAGGTTGTCCCAGAAGCACCTTATATTCTCCTTACTTTTAGATTATTTTTCTTTTCTGATTGGGTGGCTTCTTATCTTCCAAATCTGATTTGATCCTCTGTTTCATCTACCCTACTGTTGCTTCCCTGGAATGTAGTCTTCCTTTTAGTTTTGCAATCTTCGTTTCTGACTGGTTCTTTTTTTCATGTGTTTTAGTTCCATTTTTATGCTTCTTATCTCTTTGTTGATGTTCTTACTAAGTTCATCTATTCTTCCCCTAAGTTTACTGAGCATCCTTATAACCAGAGTTTTAAACTCTGCATCTTATAGATTGTTTGTCTGCATTTTGTTTAGATCTTTTTCTGCAGTTTTATTCTGTTCTTTCATTTGGGACACATTTCTATGTCTCCTCATTTTTGCAGCCTTCCTGTGTTGGTTTCTGTATATTAAGTAGAGTTGCTATGTCTCCTGGCCTTGGTAGAGTGGCCTTATATAGAAGGTGTCCTATAGGGTCCAGTGGCACAGCCTCCCCATTCACCTGAGCTGGGCACTCTGGGTGTATCTCCCATGTGGTCTGTGTACACCATCCTGTTGTAGTAGAGTCTTGGTTGCTGCTGGCATTCAAGGACTTACTTCCAGGCCAATTGGCTGTAAGGACTGGCTGCAACCACCAGGAATGAAAAGCTGTCCAAGGGTTCTCCTCATGGAGTGTGATTTACTTTAATGGGGCTCTGGTGCCCAGAGTCCACCCCTTGAGTGTGTTGCTTTTACAGGTGGCTCTGGGGCCTCTTTGGAGGTGCAAGCCAAGGTCAGCCATGTCCTGTGTCCTGCCTAGGGTCACCCAGCATGAGCTACAAAGCTAGCTGCAGGTGGCTGGCACCTGTGCTGGGCTTGGAGGTGCTCAGGAAAGACCCAGCTGTGGCCCAAGACCAGTTGCCACTAGTGCTAGGGCTGAAGTGACTTCGCAAGAGGTACAAGGCACACTGAGGCCAGATGATGCTTGTTTGAAAGGTTTTAGGAAAGTCTGAAGCATGAGCCAAGACAGAATTACATATGGAAAATCCACTGAAAACAGCTTTGTTGGGTCTACAAGTTGTGTGGGGCCACAAGTTGGGTGGGGCAGGATCTCAGGGAATCACCAGGGTGGGGCTAATAGTGTTAGTCAGGTTGATGGAGACTCAGATGTGGCACCTGCCTACTGGGTATGTGAGGTGGGGACTCAGAAAGGGAACAATGGCCTCTGAAAGCACTTCTCTCTGTGGGCAACCTGCCCCCCAGCTCTCACCCTGTTGCCAAATGATTCAGTACCTCCTCCTATATTCCTGGTGCCTTTCCAGTTATTGCCCCAGCACTAAGCTCAGAGTGTGTAAATCCCAGTAAGCCCATGTATGGGCCCTTTAAGAGGAATGAATGCCTGGGACTCCCGAAGCCCTCAGTCTCAGCCACAATCCTTACCGGTTTTTACAGCCAGAAGTTACAGCACTGAAACCATGGGCTGAGGCACCTGGTGTGAAGCTCAGACCCCTTGGTCCTCACAGGAGGTCTCCACAGCCAAGATATACCTCTCGACTTGTATTTATAACACACAGGTTTGGGACAAGCCACTTTCACCTCTGCACCCTTCTTACCCACCTCAATGTGTCTTCTTCTTTATATCCTTATTTGTAGGTCTTTTGTTCAGCTGGATTTTAGGTGGTTCTCAGTAATGGAGGTTCTGTAGTTTAGTGGTAATTTCGATGTGGTTTTGGGAGGATTTGAGTGTCACATTTGCATATACTGCCATCTTGACTGGAATCTTACAGTCTTTTTTGAACTCTGTTCTGTATTTATAATTTATAACCCCCAACATAATGTCCCAAATCACCTGATCATTGAGTACCAGTCTTGTGATTACATTTGGCACGCCCTAGGTTTTTATCCAGTGAGGGTGAAGGGTATGATGGAAAAGATATCCTCGTCTACATGACAATGGCTGGACTGAAGCCTGTCCTGGAATGGTATTCCATGTTTAACCAAATTGTGTCTCTCTGAAGGGAAAACAGGTTACTGGAGAAGAGGACTAGGCCATTACCACTTTACATCAAAGTTTCTCAAACATAGACCATGCGCTACCCACTTAAGACTCAGCTGAGATGCTTCAGTCTTTTCTTTGATGGATTTAATCAGACTCTGAGGTCCTAAGCCTCTTAGCTGATTTATGTCCTTGCTGAAGTTGAGACTGATTGTGACACTTGAGAGTTGGGAGTCCAGGTGATGCCCTTTTCCCTCCAAAGCTGTGTTGGCTAAGGTCATAACAGAGCTAGTTAAGTGAAACTCAAGTGTGTCGCTTACAGGTAATCAGGGATTTTTCATTTGTCAGGTATAGCAGGTGATAGAAGACAACTATGGCTACCTTAAGTAGAAAGGGAGTTGTTGGAAGGTTAAGGTGGTGTTAGAAGTAACCTAAAGATTAGGGTTAAGGGGAGGAACCAGGGCATCTCTGGGCATATATGTGCATACATATCAATCTAGTAAGAACTGGATTGAGTCTGCTTCCGACTTTATGGTTATTCTTGATCTGGGTGCACCCAGCTGAGAAGAAAATGTCCCAAGGACATTATCATAAGTAAGGCAGAATAGATGTCTATTCTATCAAATTCTGACTTGTTATCAACATAGTACACACATGATAACTCTTTAAAAAACTAGCTAAGACTTTAATTGCATTTTAAGATTAATCTTAGGTTAACAAAACAATTTTCAAATGTTTTTAATCCTCAGCCTGAATATGCCAATATTTGCTTTTGGTACATTCCACCAAGCCTCAGAGAAATGAAGGAAGGGCCTGAGTTCTGGGCAAAACTTAATTCGGTAAGTAATAAGTAAATTGTATTTTTCTTTTTGATCCTATAAATGATTCTGTATTTGCAAAAACATTTCAAAGAACTATAGAGCTGGTTCCTAGTGTATTAAAAACTAATGACACACCAAACAGTTGTAAACATTGTTTACACTTAACAAATTAGCATACTTGGCACACAAATCCAAAACAATTATGCTGTGTGCAAGATAGTCATAGAATTTATTCGAAGTTCTAATTTATAGTATGCTTTAGAAAGTGCGATCTGGTAATAGGATTAAGGTTATGTGATGAACTGCTTCTTTCATTTTTGCTACTACGTGACTGTTTGCATCTTTTTACTTGGAGAGAAGGTTAAAGGTTTAAAGTTGGTACTCTTTGTGAGTTTGACACTCTGTGCCTTCCAACAAAGGTCCTGCATCTTATGCCTGTTGGGATTATGTGATAAAAAAGAAAAGAGATGTCAGCAGTGGGTTTTAAATGATTATCTAACAAAATGTTCTTGAAAGTGTCTACACACAGCTGGTGAGGGCTGACAATCCGGAATGACAAGAAACCCCAGACTTGAGACACTTCTTGTGTCTCCTCTGCACCTCCCCTCACATGGCCCAGCCAATGAAATCCTGTCTCTAGCCCAAATTTCTAGGGCTATGAAGTTGTTTGCATCAACACTACTTGACCTGTCTCCCCTGCTGTATGGACATAGAGTATATTGAAGTGAAACCCACTGGGAGTTCCCCTGAGGATTTTGTAGCCATGACATGTAGAGTGAGAGTTCATGGCAGTCAGTGCCAGGGAATTAGTCAATCCTATATGCCTCGTGTCTTCCCTCTCAAGCACAGCTAGTTCCTTGACTCTGGTTAGTACAAACTCTGCCTTGCAAACCCCTCCCTATTTTCAGTGGTTTACAGTCAATGGTTCTCCACTGCCCTTGAGAAGAAAAGGTAGAACCTCCCAGTCAGGCAAGCATCAAACATTTACTGAGCACTCACTCTGCTGGGTACTGGAGATATAAGCACCAAAAAGACTTGGTCCCTGCCCATAGGAAGCTCATATTCAGAAAGAAAAATGAGTGTTGAGATTAATCACAGGGTGACTAGTAGGTGCCTTCATGGAGATAAACCCCGTTTGTCGTGCCAACAGAGGAAAAGTGTATCTATCCTAGTGTGAGACACTAGAGCTGAGCCTTGAACAGTAAGTAGATGTCAGTCAGAGGACAACTGTAAAGAAGTGGATTCAAGGAAGACTGATGGCATGTTGACCTCGAGTCCTAAGAGAGGACAGTGTGATTCGAAGACCGCACAGGTGCAGAGGGTCAGTGGTGGAAGTTGAGAGGGGAGCACAGAGGGGCAGAGGCAGAGGGTAGGTCATGAGGTCCTCGTCCTCCATGACAAGGAGCTTGGAATTTGTGCCTCGTTAGAAGGAAGAGGGAAGACCATGGCCATTAAACTGCAGCCACTTATAATCTCACCTACAGCCTCTCCTTTTAGCCTCAAGCCATTTTTATTTATGTCTCATGAAGACTCCTGCACTGTAGTGTGATATACACCCAATATGGTCATATTCACCTCTTGTCAAACCTGAGATCAGGCAGCAGAGATGGGGAGAGACTGCAATGGTGTCATCTGTGCCTCACGGTGGACAAGCCCTTCCTTACCTAGTTTAGGCAGTTAACATGGTCCTTGGGATTTGTCTTGTGTTGTCACACGTTGCAAATAGGAAAGTGCTAAAGAATACATTTCAGGTGGTAAGTGACTCATCGGAAGAAACAAGAACTGAACAATGTGAGAATTGAATGGTGATGTTTCTAGGGACATTACCCACTTTGATGGAAAGCAACTGACATTTTTTGGTGGAGTGGGGGAATGGTTGCTTAGAGTTGAAAAGGAAATGGTGGCCATTTTTCTCACATTTCAACAGTTAAGAAAAGAAACTAAGAATGTGATACTTGCATTTTACTGACAGTATTGTTGCACAAACATGGACCATGATAACCAAGGAGTCTCATCATATGTGGAAATATTTTTGACTCACTCATTATTTAAAGAAATATTTACATTATCTGTGATCAGAACATTTGAAATTGAGGATGGATATAGAAACTAAAATCAGATAATTCAGCCTGGGGTACACTGTTCTTTGTCACTGAAAATTGACTATAAATCAGGACATTCTCTTCTATTCCCCAGTATTTTCCAGTATTGATCCTTTTATGGTTAATATCTATGATTTCCTATCGCTTCATTTCAAAATGCTTTTCTGCCATTTAGAACCATGGTTTTCTCATCCACAGTAATATCATACTATTTAAATTCTTATGGTTGCTTCTGGTTAGGAAGTGTACACTGCAGACAAGTTATTGTTGTTTCTCTGATTCTCTATTTCCTTTTATTCTTTCTCTTTGTGTCAGCGTGTGTGGATGAAGTTGGCAAGGAAGGGTGGTACACATATCTGTTGTTGATCTGTGTGGTTTTATGCTTACTGTAGTGTGAGAAGGCAGTGTATGATTTATAACCTGGAGTGCACTTAAAGCACACTTGAAATTTATTTCAGGGTTTATCTTGGATGGAGAATCACAAACAAATAAATAAACCGAATAAGGCATCGCCCCTTCGATTCAGCCTAGTGTCGGGTTGAGCTGTCAGATTTCACAATCAATGGTGTGATAAGTCTTCCCTTTGACAGCAGGCAGGGAGAGGGATTATCTGGTAATGAATGTGGCATTTCAGAATGTGTAAACTCGAGCGTGTATTATGTGTGCTTGTGTATGTGTGTGCATACGTGTGAGGCTATTTTTTAGAACACGATCATTCTGCAATCTAATGTCACTATGACAGTCTTTCTGTGACACTGTGTTCCATCACTGGGTCTCAGTGACTTTTCTTTTTTAAGATGGCTTCCATAAAATGCTCTTCTTTCTGATTCACTCAGGCATTGCAGTATTCTAGGTCTTCATTAGCTCCCTGCCCAGGTTGTATTGGCCTCTTTCCTGGTCTCTGCCTCCTGCCATGTCCTTTTCCCATTGGTTTTCCTATTGTCTGCACATTAACACCTCCAGCTCTGCTTCATTATGTCGCTCTTCTGCTGGAAGCCTCTGAATAGCTTCCTATTCTCTGCAGCAGCTGTTTTCTACCCTGGATACCTAATGGCCACTGTTTAGAATAAATATTGTTAATGTTTCCCTTACTTTCCTAATATGAAACCAATAGAAACTATGACCTCCCTACCTGTAATACTGCAAAAAGCAATAGAAGGCCTTGCATGTAATAAGAAGGAGAAATAAGTTAGTTTATAATAAAGATATGTATGTCATTACATAAATGACATGAGGAAGGGATATGATTCTCACACATACTCTTAGAATCACAATATATCTAAATAACAGAAATGGTGTGGTATTAACAATATAATTTTTTAAAATAGTGTGCAACCCTTGGTAGAGCTCTGTAGAAAACGTTTTCCCCTTTGTTTACATGGTAGCAGAAAACTTAGTATTTATTAAAAGTGGGCACAGAATTTTTTGCATTAGAATATAAAATAGAGTTAGTTTCCAGGCTTGGGTAATGTAACCAGGCTTCTCTCCTCATGCATTTCCAGTAGGGTGTTTGGAAGTTGTGCAAGGCACGGGGCAGTCCTTCGTTGCTCAAGACTCTTCTGCACGTTGCAGGGCAGCTAGCATCTCTGGTCCTCACTCGCAAAACACCAGTAGCCATCCCCAAACACAGGGAAACAAAGACATCTGCCCACAATTCCAAAATACTCCCTAAAGTTATAGGACCATTCCCATGAGAATGACTAGTCCATAGGATAAAATCTAGTCCCATTTGCCTGGCATCCAAAGGCCTCAACTCGGGTATCTTCCACTCAGTCTACTGTAGCTTCCATGATTGAAACCCCTGAACTGATAAAACAGGCCAGAGGAGTTTCACCAGATTTCCTGCTAGTTAGGAACCTGGTTAGGAACTAGATGATGGATAGCTTCTGCTCTTCAAATTGGCAAATGACTGGTTTTAATGTTAATTCCTACTGTTGGCAAGAATGTTATGGGACTCATTATAACTGTTAATGGGCACATAAATCTGTACAAACTTTCTGAAGACCAACTTTATAAAACATATCAAATATCTTAATTTGGCATATATTTTCTTTTAGCGCTTCTACTTACACAAATGTATACTTTTGAAATCATTACAGAATTGTGGGGGCTGAATAGCTACTCAGAAGTTCCTAGACATTATTTAAAATAGCAAAACACTTAAGCATCTACATATTCAACCATGGGAAAAGGTTAAATTTTAATACATAACTTTGTTCAAATTTTAAATATGTAGACAATTAAAATTCTGTTCCAAAATAACATTCATAATTTACTATTAATTTAAAATAAGTTATAAAACAGCCACTATAGTTTGATTATAATTTTGAAAAATTATGTTTATATATAGATACTTATATATGAGGAGGGCTGTCAGAAAATAGAATTTATTTCTAAGAATTATGTATTTATTCTTACATGTTTAAACTTCAGTCATCTTCAAAGATTTATGCTCCATTTGATGCAATACACCTATCAAGACTTTTTTTCCACTGCTCAAAACAGTTTTTGAACCCATTGATTTTGATGCCTTTTAGTGCTTCTGCTTTTTGTTTGTTTATTTCATCTCTTCCACACTGGCAAAATATTTCTCTGTGAGGCCTTTTTCTCATCTAGGGAAACAAAAAAGTCACTCAGGGTGAGGCTGGGTGAATAGGGAGTGGGGGCATGGGGATTGTGTATTTTTTGGTCAAAAACTGCTGAACACGCAGCATGGTGTGGGCAGGTGCACTGGTAAATCACCCGTCATGAAATGGACAAACGTGTTGAGAGAGTCTTCAGAGAAAATTCACTGAAGCTGAACGCAAGAATGCCAGCTGGTACCCTGATACAGATGGGTTTCCAGAACACTCACTTCCTGGAGGAAGCCTGTACTAGAAAGGGCTCTCCTTCCAGAAGTTAATTCTGTTTTTTGGG